AACCCCTTCCGAACCGCCAGTCCACGGTCCCGGCGACAATGTTTCTGGGTGTCGGGGCCTCGTCCTTCCTGGCATTTGTCTGAAATGGAGCTGTCTGTCTAACCTAGGCCGGGACGCGCCCTGCCCGGGGAAGTGGGGGGAAAGTGGGGGTGGGGGCGGAGGGGTACCTGGGGTGGAGTTAGTCGCCTGCTTATTTTCATATTCATTAGAACTGGGAGGTTGCCCAAGGAGCCCAGCTGAGTTTCAAGATATAAAAGCAACTTCGGGTGCCCCTTTTCCAGCAGGGACGTATTAAAGGGCTGGGAGCGGGGCTGCTCCCAGCGCCGCAGCGCACTCTTCCCCTTCCCTCCTCTGGGTCCTCCCTCCTCCCGCCCACCCGCTCCCTCCCCCAGCGCTCTCCAGTCTCCGCGCCCCGAGAGCTCCGCGACAGCCTCCAGGATTATGGAGTTTCTGAGCGAGAAGTTTGCCCTCAAGAGCCCTCCGAGTAAAAACAGTGACTTTTACATGGGCGCTGGAGGCGCGTTGGAGCACGTTATGGAGACGCTGGACAATGAGTCCTTTTACAGCAAAGCGTCAGCGGGCAAATGCGTGCAGGCCTTCGGGCCCCTGCCCCGCGCCGAGCATCACGTGCGCCTGGAGAGGACCTCGCCCTGTCAGGACAGCAGCGGTGAGTCGCAAGCCCCACTCCGTGCCGCGGCAGCCCTTCCACAGACCCGAAGTTGCAGGGGCGGGTCGGGACAGGCATGGAGGGACGAAGGAAGGAAAGCCGGAGCGAGAGAGCTGGAGGGCGGAGGAAGGCAGAGAAACGTTGAACGTTTTAGGAAGCGGTGTTTTGGCTGCTGCCGACTTTGGGTGCCAAAGGAAGGACTCGGCACCGGGTTGCCTCTGCGACTCTTTTGGCGGTCGAGTCCTGTCCCCTAAGGGTTCCGGAGTCCCTCTATCTAGGACCCAGGAGTAAACTGATAGGGCGGTAAATAAAGCGTAATTGAGTCAAGACAGCGCGCTTCCTCTGCGAGCCCGCCGCTCTGCCCCGGCAGGAGGAGCTGAAATCCATCACTGCTCGTTAGAGGACGTCACTGTCGTCACAAATAAGAAAACTTTGGGCTTCTTAGGTGAAAAATCCTTTTTTAAAAAAAATTTATTTTTATTTTTATTTTCCAAGACGTAGCGATATTTCTCTTTGTGAAATTGGAGGGTTGCTAGATTAGCTCATGTGAATTTGTGATTTCATTTTCTTCGGGTTTGCAATATACAACACAGATTTTGGTTAAACACCAATCACTTTAAATAGCTTCGGGCAAAGTATCCCCAATATAATGACTCACTCCAGAATTCCGCGTTATCCATATTTTTCTGACTCCACATTAAAAGTCACCTCAGAAGCCTTTCGGAATGTTTCTGAGTGAAATCTTCAACTTTGAATGGCTAAGTATCTCAAAGTCAAAATGTTATCAAAACAACCATCTATCTTTTCTATCTTGTAACCCAATACAAACCTATTTTTTTTTCAGATCGCGACAGCTAAAGCAAGTTTACAATTCCAAGAGGACTTTTCCTTATCATTGTATATATTCCACAGTGAAGCTGTAAGGAGCGGGTTGCTTTAAAATAACAAACGAATTAAGTGTGAAATATTTACAACAAGCCTCCCGCCCCCTATTTTAATTGAGGTTCAAAATCTGGCAAGGCACTGGCTCATAGAAGCTCATTTTCTAAATACTTTGTACGTAGTAAGCTTTAAAAAAAGATCTCGTAATTTTACTTGTTTTATTCAACGTTGAAAGTTACTTTTGACTTGCAGTGTTAAACGAAAAATAAAGGCACACGATAGAGAAAATTAGTTAAATCGGTTCAGTCATTTATTTAGAAAGACACAAGCAATTATTTTATTTATTTATTTATTTATGTTTTTACTTTTAATGCACTAGATGTTTGACTTTCTGGCTGTATTTTATTCAGACCAAAGTACCTTTATATTTTTAGAATTCTTAGACGTATACATAAAATTATTTGAATAGACAGGATCTTTAAAAAATGATTCTGTTATGTCTTGGGTTGAGTACTGGAACAGGACTCAATATTTTAAATTGTCGGGAAACCAAAGTAAGAAGAGAAATAGGTGATTTTTGATACTTTTTCGAGTTCTAAACGAACATCACACTATTGGTATGAATTTTAATAGGAAAGTATTAAGATGAATGTAGACAGCAGTCCGCTAAATTTAGGAAAGTTCCTTTCTCCTGAGATGCCCTTAGCTTCACGACTGCTTCCCCACCCCCCATTCCTAATTACCGCAGTTCCCTATTTAACTATGTCCATGGAGACAAAACCGTATTGTTAACCGGTCGTGGCTCTTTTTTTATATTTACTTTTACATCACGTCTTCTTTTGCAGAGAAGCTATTTGGCATTTAAGTTATATAGGTATTAAATTTCAATACATTTGTATAATGATTAAAGCAGTTGTAAAAATACATTATGAGATCAGTAAAAAAAAAACAGACAAAAGCAAAAAATAAAGTATGACAGTTCACTGGAAATTGTTGTTCTGGTTGGGTTGACTTCACTTTTTAAAAAGATGCCTCCCATTTCATTATGTGCATCCACTGCATTTGTGTGTTGGGAGGCACCCTATGACACATTTTTGTTTTCTATCAAACCGTAAGCATGAAATCAGATCTGGAGGAAATCACTGAAATTAAAACATCTCTAAACAGAATGCCAGATAATATCCTTTGTAATCTTTTAATAGATATTTTAATTTCTGTGCTTTATTAGAGGGGGAAAATTAAGTTTTATTAAAATGTATTTCATGAGGTAAGAATAAATGTGACATATTTAAAAAGAACTGCAAATGATTTTTTAAACTAAAAACATCCACTTAAGTCTTCTTTTTTTCTATAGGTAGCACTTTCAGAAACTGATAAGAATTTCATTTTTTAAATTTAGTAGGTTGCTTTTTGAAAAAAAATTGAAATGTAGACATGAATATACCATTGAAATATTTGAAAGATAGTAGAAACTACCATAATCTAACTATATGAGTTTTATGTGGAGGAGGAAGATAACTTCTGGGAAGTTTGGATTTCAGTTTACAGATATTTAAAATGGAAATATCTTCCTTGGGCCATGTAAGTAGCTTAATTTTGCCTGCTGTGAATTTGATTATGAATTATGAGGATAAACATTACATTAGTCCTGTAAAGTAAAACTGTGAATTTTGGCAAATGACGGATTTCACGTACACATTTTTAAATGATCTTAAAATTGTCCAAAGTGGATTAATAATTGTACATATGTAATATTAATGCTAATTAATACTGGCACAAGAAACCATTAGCAGACTGCTTTCCTGATGCTCTAAATTACTAAGTCTTAATTTCTTCATCGAAATGCTTCACAATCCTGAGAACTGTTGTTTTTCCTCTTTGGGTACAGTGAACTATGGGATCACTAAAGTAGAAGGACAGCCTCTTCACACCGAACTAAATAGAGCTATGGACAACTGTAACAATCTCCGGATGTCTCCTGTGAAAGGGATGCCAGAGAAGGGAGAGCTTGATGAACTTGGGGATAAATGTGACAGCAACGTATCCAGCAGTAAGAAGAGGAGACACCGAACCACCTTCACTAGTTTGCAGCTAGAGGAGCTGGAGAAGGTCTTTCAGAAAACCCATTATCCAGATGTATATGTCAGAGAACAGCTTGCTTTGAGGACAGAGCTCACGGAGGCCAGGGTCCAGGTAGGAGTCATATGAAGGCCTTGGTGGGTGGGGGTGGGGATGGGGGTGTTTGTGGGAAGATAGTGTTAAGATAATTCAATAGCTGCAATTTGCCAGAAAGGAATTATTCGAAGATGTAAAATAATGTGATGTATGTATGTAGGTCTACTAAAATTCCTTTTTACCTGTAAAGGATGTAACAACTCACAGAAAAACATAAAACAAAAGAATAAAGAACAGAATACTCTAATATATCTCTGATTTAAAAAATTAATTTTTAAAGAGTGAAAAACAGAATCATAGTTATTCATTTAATAATGCATGTATTTTATCTTTTCTATTTTATCAGCTATTGAAAGTTTTTTAAAAAAAATGTTATATACCAGGTGTTGGTAAGTTATTTGTATAATGGTCTAAAACCTATAATTTTATTGGTGTTGCAGTTATAATAAAGAAAAAATGAAACAAGCTCACAAATTCCCAATTGTTATGTGTACCAAATCTATTTTTACTATACATAATTAAAGATCATATAACTTATTTACAATTTTCTAACCCTAGTAATTGCCAGTAGTGCTATTCCATTTTAATTTTTTAAATCTAGATGACTTATATGTTTTTTGCAGAGGCAATAGGAATAATGATCTTAAAATAATTTTAAAATAGTCAATTATATTTATGTTATATTCGAATTATTGTATGATTCAATATACTAGAATTTTTAATCATTTTAAAAAGAAAAATTAGGCTAAGTAAAATTCTACCTCTTAGGCATATTTTATTTTTACTAGAGCTGATATTCTTAAGCTATATTTTATTAGGTTCCAAATAATAGTAATTCGAGAGAATGACTTTTTTCCTTTGGCACGTTTTTATTACTCTAAATAGGAAAATATTGAATTTTGCAGTTTATATAAACTATGGAGAAATGAATAAAGTAGTGAAAAATTTTGTTCTGAGTGGAGTAATAGTATTTCTTCTGAAGGTTAAGCCATCGTAAGGCTTTTACATCATTAAAGACAACATCTGGTGGTGCAGGAATAATAAGCAGCAGGTTTTTTCTTTGGTTTGTGGAGGCAAATGGTTCTTTATCTTAGTTCAGGAAGTAGATATATAGGAAGTTGATGCTAATGAAGAATTTTAGAATCATCAAGTGTTAACAAGAGATCCACATGTGGTGTTTTTTTTTGTCTTGTGTTCATATATTTAAATTAGTTATACTTGTAACCATAGAAAAATATGTTTGCACACAGAATGATCAGCTGTGCACAATACATGTTTTCCCCTTAACATTTCATCAAGTCCTGATTAATTTTTGTCTATGAACTTGCACAGAGAGCCAACCTGAACCTAATTTACTCAGATTGTTCTCTTTCCTCCTTTTCAAAAAACATCAGAGTGGTAATTGGCATCCATGTTAAGGAGATTATCAAGGTCTTTTTCTCAATGAAAATAAATAACTTTATTACTAAATGCCCTTAGTATGTTCTTGGTGCCTGTCTATGGAGACAGAAAGAAAATATGTTTGGTTTGGTTTGGTCATTAGTGTTGTCTTGAGCCCCGGGCATAGTGGATAATACACATTTACCAGGAGTGTTGTAAGTAACCATAATGAACAGGTAACTCTCTTCGCTTTGTTTTAATTGCTAAAAACTCTTCAAAGAGCCATCTTAAATGTGCAATACAGGCTTACATATTAATTAATATGTTTCCGTAAGTGTGAGGATAAAGATATAAAAGATTAGAATTGAATATAGAAAAAGAGAAAAAAAAATTCAAGTAAATTTTAATGAAACACTTTTTATAATTTGAATTTTTATATTTGATTTCTAGCTTTTTTCTTAAATATTTTATATTTTGAACATAGTTCTACGTAGACTAAAGAACTTCCTGAAAGCTGCTCATGTGACATCTACTCAAAAATATCATTTTATACATATTGAATATCATTTTCTATATCTCCTTTTAATACATTAAACTATTAAAATGAAGATTCTGGAGAGCAATATGTATGAATTAGTGAATATTTAACCCTCTTTGGAAGATGATTGTTAATGATAAATGTTATTAGTCTGCAATTAAAGAAATTAGGACGAGAGCTTTACTGACCCTGTAGAGGCTACACTAACTCACAGGCTTTCTTCATGCTTGGTTGTATCTGCTCTATTTCTTTTATTATTTATATTATCTGTAAGGCTTTTACATTAGAGAAATGATTTTGAAGATTTCTGAGTATTTTCTATAAGAAGATAAAAGTTATAAGTGGTATGATTTATGTAATAGGCACATTTGTATATTTTAAAACTCTAATTCAACTTCAGATGGTTCCATTTTACCTTTCGTCTTTAGCATGTTCAATATAATATGTAATCTTAATATTTTCTGTTTCTAAATAATCATGATATTTCTGTCGATGCCATATGGTTTAGATGCAATCTTTATGTTTAAATCTTTCTAAGATTATCTAAGTATGGGTACAACCCAGAAGAGCCTTCACTTTATGAAACGCTTCAAAGATCATTGTTTTGACAGACCCAGATATTAATATGGTTATAAATTGGCTAGGTTAATGTTATATGCATAACCCCAAACTAAAAAGTCATGAATATCTTCCAGACTTGCAGCATTCTCTGAGAGGAGGTTTATCTATAATTATTTGGAGATATAAGAAGTCTTTAAGATTATATAATCTAATTTCTTTTTGTTTTCTAATTGAGAAAACAGAGGCTCAGACATATTAAATAAATGTTTTGAAAGTGTCTTATCTTTTTATATTAATTTATATTGCCTCATAGACATACCAATTATCATATCAGGGTAAAATAAAAAGTAAAATTTGTGGATCCTTTTCTGACAAAGAAATTCATTTATTAGTAATTTTGTTGATCTGATTTACCTTTCTGATTTATAGTCCTTTAATAGCACATTTGCAGTATCAAATATTCCTTAACTAAAATTCTCCTTTAAAAAATTAGGTTTGGTTTCAAAATCGAAGAGCCAAGTGGAGAAAAAGAGAACGTTATGGCCAAATACAACAAGCTAAAAGCCATTTTGCTGCCACCTATGATATATCAGTTTTGCCAAGGACTGACAGCTATCCACAGGTATGGTAAACTGCAAAGAATACTGATTGATAAAAATAGATGTAGTGTGTATCTTCTTAAAAGGGCTAGTATAGGCTTTATTATATCTGATATAATAAGAAGGAAAATTTTAACCTCCAAAAGACTTTTTTTTCATGTTTATTACATTTTTATTTTACTAAAATATTTATTTTGTTATTTTTTTCTTTCAGAGCCATTCATTTAAAAATATTTCAGGGTCTCTTCCTTGTTATACATTGCAACAACTGAAGTACCATCATTCAATAGTATAAGTCTTTTAATACCCTGTATTTTAATTATTCAGAATTACTTCCTTTGTTGACTTTTAAAAACAAATAAAATATTGTTTGGCATGCTATCTCTGTGGCTAATATTTTATGAATCATACCATAACCTAGTGTCAAATGTAGTATATGAATCCATTCCACTTAAAAATATCTCTTTTGCTGTGTTGATTTTTCAGCTTTGCTCATTGTTTTAAGGAAACATTTAGCCCTTTGTTACTTAAAACATATACAGAATTAGTACTAGATATCACTTTTTAAATTTATCACGTTAAAAAACACTTTATAATGAGAGCTCTCATCTCATTTAAAGAATGTTTAGAAATTATTTTTTTCTTCTATTTTTTTTTAATTTAGAGAGTTTTCATTTTCATACTTTGCAAAGCATGTAAGTAAAATATATTTTGTTTTTCTAATTGGGTATTACTTTTTCCTAATACTGAATTATAATAGTCAGAAATGTATTTGATACATTATAAGGGACACATATTATAAGGAACAAGCCATCTATTATTTAATTCCTTATTGTTTAATGATATGCATTGTTAACAAATATATACCATATATACTGGTAGAATATCTTCATAGTTCAGTAACCAAATTATCGCAGCCCCAAACTTAAGGGTAATTTTCTTTAACTATAAATTCATACCCTATTAGCGTGAATTCTGTCCTTTAATTTTATACTGTCTTTGTGTTCTGACGCTCTTTTTGACCCTTAAAAACTTATTTTGAGACTTTTACTCCTCCAGATAAATTCACTGAATTTATTCATGTAATATTATATGGGAACTAGAGCCTTAGAGATTACCTCATGCAAAAAAGTTAGGCAACCAGAGCCAGATGAATTAAGTAATTAATTGGTCTTTGGTCACAGAAGTGGTTCTTTACAGGATGATCTATTAAGGGCTGCTACCACTCAGCCTTGTCACTACCAAATGCTAGAAGACCAACGTTAGGAGTACCTTTTGAATAAATGCCATATCTGCCATAAGAAGAATCTTCTTTCTCTTACTTTAAAAAATGTATCTTAAAGTAGTTCCCTTTTTCTTCTGTTTAAAAGCAAGCATATACTCCTGGTTACTTATCATCATTAGGTTAATGAAATTTTACTCACCAGATATTTATAAGTGTCCTAGTTGAGTTCTAAACAGTGCTGTGAGGGTGTTTCCCCAAGTGGCTATAAGATCCATGAGAGCAGGCACTGCAGTGTTTTCCTAAGTTGCTAATAAAACAAGAAGCCTTACTATATCAAGCACCGTTCTAAGCAGGTTACCTATACTAAATCACTTAATCTTCACAACAACCTTATGTGGTAGGCATTATTATCCCCATTTCTCATGTGAGGAAACTGAGGCACAGAGAATGAGGTATTTACTCAGTTTCGTTAGTGGTGAAGCCCAAATTTGACCAGAGGCATTCTGACTTCCAAGCGCAAGATCTTAACCTCACAATAGACTGTCTCTGCTAGCGAATATGTTGGAATGATTGAATGATTAATAAATTAATACTAAAGGAACATAAAGCTTATGTTGCATCATTCAAGTCTGCAGTTTAGTTCAAGGGAGCAGAGGATGTACTCACAACCGGAAATAACAATAAAATATAATGGAGATATCATATACTTTATATAACTTTGACCTACTTAACTATGATGACTGTAGTAATAATAAAGTCACAAATTATGAACTCTTTTCAAATGGACTTTTAACAGTCTGATAATTCAGTTCCATAGCACATGACTATGACATATCTTTTTAATCATTATTTTAATCTTCATTTTTTTCTCATAAACCCCATTTCTGTCTATTTTCCATTTTCCTGTTCTTTGCCTTATCTCTAACTTTCCTTTCTTCTTCACTATAGCATAAAACATTTAGAATAGTGCCTGTCACCACTTAACATCTTTATAACAGCTTAGTATAACTTAAGATACTCTGACTAGTTGCCCTTCCTTTTTACCTAGGCTTATTTTGCCATTGTTATTGTGCTGCACAGCCTTAGATATTATCAGTTAGTGGAATGAAGTGACCTAGCAGCTCAAGCTGGAAAGGAAATGGTACAAATTATATATCTAATAGTCTTTTTCACTCCAACAGAGGACTAATTTAAAATATCTCTTCACAACTCATGGTAATTTTGCACTAATTCTCCTTGTGGCTTCTCCATAATTTATGTACATTGGTTATACCACCTCATAATTTAAGTATGGAAAACAGAAATGATCATATGTTGACGTTATTTTGACAGTAAAATTTGTCAACAATAATAAAAATCAATACTGTGAACCCCATAGTACTTTTCTGTATTTGTAAGTCATTTAATGTTTGGTGGCCCAAAATTCTGAAATCCCTACTGTAGGTATTGGAGAAATCCAGGGAAAAAATGTGTTTTAACTTAAAAATATGCAGTTGATTTTTTGAGTTTGTTGAAAAAAATAATTATGGTGAGATTATGTCTCCAAGCTTTAACATAAAGGAAACTTTTTAAAAACTCACACGGCTTGAAAATGGAAATTTATAACTGGGAAAATAGACACCAAAATAGAATCCAACAGCTCAATGCAATAAGCATTGCATAAGGATTTGGTTACTGTTACTAATTATGGAAAAAAAAATTATTAATTACAAAAACAATTGGAAACTAGAAAATGCAGGACAGAAATAAAGAATTAGCAATTTGGAAGAAAAGCAAAAGCATACACAGAAATACAAAAATACATGAAAAAAAGAGGTGGTTTAGAAAATGATCTCCTCAAGCCTGCTCAGTGTGGATAATAATCTTACCTCACATGAAAATATCTATATATAACATATAACATGTTTGTTTATGAATAGTAATTAATTTATAAAATATTCTAAATATTTTTTTCCACTGATCTTCTACACTATAGTAACAACAACGGTAACAGTAAAAATAATAACTACCAGTTGAGGGCTTATTTTACAGGCTTTCCTCTTAGAGCCATTAATTCATTGAATTTGAGCTCAAGATTTCTGAGTTCAGGAATCAAGGGTTCTTTATGCAACCATATCTCTGTAATGGAATAGTTAAATTTTGACCCTAAAACATTGAATCACTTGGAAAGCAAAAATGCTTTCATTTTAAAATTTATAAAATACTGACATAAAGCATTTAAAAAATGTTGATAATTTTTAGACTGTTTTCATATATTCTTTTTCTTAAGCTTGCTCATATTTGATAGCAAACAAACAATAAGAAAGTGAGAAGTGTCATATCAGTAGTAATATACTTTAAGGTAATATATTTTTATGTTCTGAAAAATAGTATCATTTTTTTAAGAAGCCCTTTATTTTGGCTCACATATCAGTTGCCATTCAGCGACACTATGATTTATATAAACCAAACCACCAGATGTTCTCTTATACATGACATTTAAAAAATGTCTCATCACTTGTGCTGGATCTGTTCTTTCTATCTTGAATTCCCTTCTCACCTAAACTGTATTTTCTCTATGAAATATCTTCTTAATCCTCCTTTAATTAGCACATCACTTTCTCACCAACATTGTGGTGGGCTGTATAAAATGTCTACAACCCAGTTTACAAGATAAAATATTTTAAAAAAATAATTCAAGTCACCACAGTATTAAGCCAATTACACACACACTGAATAGATGTGAAAAAAGTACTGATTCATTTCAATATTTATTCAGGAGTACATTATAAACCCAAAATTAATCCATTTTCAGTTAAACAGCTGATATCTGAATCTCTGCTATTAACCAACTCTGTAGTCTTAAGCAATTAAATTTTCCTCTTTGATCCTCAAATTCCTCCTCTGCTAAAAAGAATAAACTAGAAAGATTTTACAGAACTCTTTCACCTTAATTTTTTACAGAGTTATTTGCATTTTATCCAATAAATATATGCTAGGTACTGTTTTAGGCATGGGGGTTATATGAATGAAACAGACAAAATCTCCTGCTTTGTGGACAACTTACAAACTAGGTGATATTTATACCAAATTCTGCAAACACTTCTTGAAGCAAACTAGGCCCAACAGACCAAAAAGACCTACATAATTTTGTCCTTCAGTTGAAAAAGAAAGCAAGTAACTATCAACATTAGATTCTAATTTGTTTCTAATTTATCAAAACCAAAGCATTTTTTAAAATAATTATTTTGATGAATCAAAAATTTGTTAAGGCATAAAAGTTTCTGGACAATTATACCTAGCCTTCATTCTTACAAAGAACCCTAAAGTCATGCCCGTAGGTCTGATTTGGATTACAGGTACATTCATTTGATCATTTACTAGCTGAATAACTTTGGATAAGTCTCTTGACTTCCTTGAGCTTCAGATTCTTTATTTGTAAAATGAAGGTATTGTTAGTGCTAGAGTTGGTGGTGTTGGAGGTATAGATGATGATGATGAGGATTGAGTCTATTTCCAAACAGCCTACTGAGCTAAATCCTGAGATCTGAGGAGGTCCAGGTGTTAATGTATGACTATGGGCTTCACAGTCAGGGAGTAGTAGTTTCAAATTATGACTATGCCACTTAATAGATTTTAAACCTTTGGCAAATGAATTAACCTCTAGGAACATTTCTCCTATTCATAAAATGAGGATAAAGGTTTGTTGATATTTGTGAGGATTAAACAAAGTTTATGCAAAGGACTTATGGCATTGCCTAGTATACAATAAGTGCTCAATAAATAGTAACGATTCTATAATAGCCATTAGTCATTATT